TCCATCGTGACCGTCTCGTTATTGAGCTTCATCAAGAACCTATTGTATCCATGAGCTTGCTTCCTCTCTGTGAACGCGCGGGACTTGCCTGACGAGCTTCATGTTGAAAGACGGAGTCGGACGAGTTGATTCGAAGCGAGGAAGGGGGGAGAAGGGGGTTGTTTTTGTATATGCCTGGTGAGGAAGGCGATGAAAGAGGAGATGAGCGCGAGGCGGCGATTCCCGGCGTTTCTATTGGTGGCAGACGCGTCACTCGCTCATTGCGCGTTTCCATCATCAGCCAATTCCTCTTTTCATCTCTTCTTTTCATTTCTTCTTCTCTTCTTGTTCTTCTCCGCCACCCTCCGCCCCGTCTCTGCCCCCCGCCCTCTCTTCTCTCCTGGTCTCGGCCCCGCGCTTCCAAGCACCCCGCTCGCCCGAATATCCGCTTCACCCGCCTCTCCGACCCCCGACCTACCTTACGACAAAGCCGTGCACATCCAACGAACTTTCAAATACCATCTCCACGTACCTACACGCCCCCGACTTGCAAACAATCTGGGTCCGGAACCTTGACGGTCTTCCCACTTTTGAAACAACCAACACACCACGACAGATAACTCGAGGGCAATGCAGGGATACAACAACTACCTCCCTCCTTCCCTCGCCTCGCCCCAACCGACTTCCCTCGGCGGCAGCGGAGGGGGCTACGTCCCCCCGCATCAACTGCAGAACCCTTCCCCGCAGCAAGGTCTCGGCGGGTTCGGCCAGCTGGGGCAGAATCAAGGCTTTGGTGGTTTGAGCCAGCTCGGTGCTGGCGGGCAGGGGCAAGGGTCGAGGACTCTGGGGGTATCGCCCAACTCCCAAGCGCACAATCAAACGCAAGGCCAGGGTGCTGCCCAAGGAACGGGTGATAGTATCAAGGTGCAGCCTCTTTTGTGTTCGGGACATACCCGGCCTGTCACTCATCTGCAATTCTCCAACTTGTATGTCCCTCTCAAATAGGGGAGGAGGGATGAAAGCTGACAGGAGGCAAGGCTTGATGACGGGACTTATCTCTTGATCTCGGCGTGTAAAGATGGGAATCCGATGCTCCGAAGCTGGCTCGGAGATTGGATTGGGACTTTTCTCGGTACGCACTCAGCTTATACATGATTTACATGATGCTGACGGTGGTATAGGCCACAAGGGCGCAGTATGGTCGTCAAAGATTTCACTCGACACTTCGCGGGCAGTGACGGGCAGTGCCGACTTTACTGCGTACGTCCCTATCTGCTTCTCGCTTGTCGCAAGCTGATCGTTCGCAGCAAGATATGGGATACATACTCGGGCGAATCTCTCCACACGTTTTCGCACAACCACATTGTCCGATCCGTCGCTCTCAACCCTCAACAGACCCCGCAGTATCTGCTCACTGTGCGTCACCCCTCTTTTCCCTAAGTTGCAAGCTGACTTTTGTGACAGGGCGGGCACGAGAAAAAGATCCGTTTATTCGACCTCGGCCGCCCCGACGCCCAACCACTCGTCCTCGGCAACAGGTCCGACGGTCTCTCCTGCGACGGTACCATCAAATCCCTCGTATGGGACGAATCTTCCAACGGCACTACCGGTGTCTCTGCTGGCGAAGACGGCAAGGTGCGGTGGTGGGATCTGAGGACATTGTCAGAAGTGGGCAGTCTGGACCTTGGGGAGGCGGTGGGTAGTATGGAGATTGCCCATGGCGGTGGGACGCTCTCGGTCACTGCGGGCTCGTCCGTCCATTTCCTCGATATCCTCCGCCAACATCCCCCAGTCACCATCCCCCTCCCGCACCCGATAACATCCGCCTCCCTCCACCCTTTCCTCCGCGACCGCTTCACCGCAGGATCTTCGTCCGACCCCTGGGTGCGGGTGTACGATCTCGACACGGGCAAGGAGAAGGAAGTGTACAAGGGACATCATGGGCCCGTGTTGGGTGTTGCGTATAGTCCGGATGGGGAGGTCTATGCGAGTGGGAGTGAGGATGGGACGATTAGGCTTTGGCAGACGAATCCGGGGAAGAGCTATGGGTTGTGGCAGACGCAGGATTAAGTGGGCAGGAGGCTGGGAAGGGGATTGGAGGGTCTGGGGCGAGATGGGGGGGAGGGCGTAATAGATGGGTCGGCTGGGAGAGGGGGTATGTATAGAACAGAAGGCTGTGCGTATGCAGATCCGATGGTAAATGCCACCCGCATACGACTCTACAGTGCCACCTGATTCCATGTCACATCTACTAGAAATTGATTTGAGACCCAGAAGCATCCTCAAATGTAAAACGCCTCTCATTGTTTATAACCAGAAACGACTGCGGCTCATCCGTGTCAACCCTAAAAAGTGAATCAACATTGGCGGAACCACGCGTGAAGGAAAAATCATCTGCTGGTACCGAAAGTCCCGGGGTCACAAACGTTAGCCTGGCGCCTTGATCATCCCAAACGAGCGACGCCCTGGTCCCTTCAAGGATGGACCTGTCCATATGGGCCCTTGAAGATTTGATGACAGCTTGCACGCATTCCTCCCTCTCTGAATTTGCTGCTTCCCCTCGCGCAATGTCTTTTTCACTCATAGTATTGACCGAATATTCTATATCAACCTGCTGCCCCAGGACGGAGACGACGTGTGCTCTCACAAGCCCGGTTGCCATTTGCTGCACTTCGTCCTCTGCGAATGCCTGCTTCGTGACATCCTCCTTGCCTGGCATATGGGATACAGCATAAGACAGCGCTCGGGCCGCGCTCTCGTCGGCAGCCGTCAACATGTCGCCATATAGTCTGACAATGTGGCCGCTGATGGGATCGTAGAGTTCGTGAAAGGAACGGTCGGACATTTTTCCTTCCTCGTTTTCTAGTGTCAAGAGATGGAGTCTGCTCAAGGTGTCTGCGAGGTCGGTTTGTTCTTTTTTGGTACGAGGGTGCTGTTGGTCGACGCCGCTAGTCAGGCCTTCGCCAATGTTTATTCCCCACTGTACATTGATACCTGGTCAGTGCGTGAAAGGGAAGCCTTATGGATGGATGCGGGCGGGGAGTTAGAAGGAGTCGGTCAAATTGACTCACATCATTGCGAATATAGGGCTCTTCCCAGATTCCACTGCCGTCTCGCCTCCACTTTGGGTGTTCATAGTCGACAGCGGTATTCAAAGTGATGCACAACAGATACGAGTACACCGTTGACACCGATGGACGTGTATAACTGTTACTCTCTCCTGATGACGACATCTTGCGACAACTTCTAGAAGTAGGGGCAAATTGCTTTACCGGTCCGACACGTACATGTAGAACAGAGGACGACAAGTCAATGGGGATCGATCACCATTGCCAGAAGATATTACTCAGTCAGGAAGGAGAGATGGCAAAGATGATCAAAGGGACCGGACTCACAGCTTCACGTTGAATGATGACTCAGTCTTCTTTTTTGTTGTTGGCAGGCCTTCTATTATCAACTATGAACCTCAAAGCGCCTTAGAAATATCGACGTACTTTTTCATTAAAGTCCGTCCGGGGGCGGCGTACGTCTCAGCATGCTTCCTTTGAGGATGTCTGGGTCGCCATAGGCAGACTCGACGGAAACATCGGGGAGGGGAGCTCAGACTTTATAGGGCAAAGCCGAGACGGTACCATGTCCCGCAAACGCATCAAAATCATATCCTCATTTATCACTCAAGCCACCATGGACTGCAATACTCTCTCTGCTCAATCAAGTATTGGCCAAAATGCCGAGAAAAGAGAATCCAATAATGCTGGGCGCCGCTACCTCGACGGGCCGAAACAAAAGCCCAAGACTAGCGACCGCGTACTCAACTTGTACGAAGATAAAGAATACGACGGATCATACGATCACAAGCCCATGCATCTATACGACATCAACTTTATCCACCCGTTTCAATTCTTGGAGACGGAGCAAGTTCGGCTAGAACCGTTGGTCGTGAGTGTGTTCGATCCTTGTAAGGATCCGGTGAGGGCTGACGAGAAGCAACATCCAGCCTGCGAAGCATATCGAAGGTTTTCTCTTCTTACCTGATTCCTCATGGAATGTTATGGGGGACCTTGGGCCGTACAACAGACAGACAGCTCTGGAGGATATCGAAGCCTTCAGATCAGACCCGCAATGTCTACTCTTGGCTATAATGGATAAACAAAGGGAACATGCCGGGTTGGATGCGTTTGCGGGGGTATACGGACTGATAGAAGTCAGTGAATATATGGTGAGCCTCGCCGATCAATTAGGCATATATGAGCTGAGCAGGCCATTGGGGCCGACGTCGTGACAGGATGCGGTATTTGGAGTTATCAACGTTCATCCAAAGTATCAGCGAACTCACGTCAATACCCACTGCATGTCTCTTGTCCTGTCCTACTTGTTCGACACACTCAAACTTATCCGCGTCCAGTACGATGCTGTCATTTTCAATGTACAATCAATCAAGTCGGCGCGTCGCTTCGGGTTTAGGGAGGAAGGAATTGCGAGAAATTACAACGGACTCGTTCCGGCTTCGAAGAAGAGGAAGGGGGAGGAGAAGCGACAGAGTCAGGATATGTGGCTGGGATCCATGACCGATTATGAGTGGGAGACGGAGGGCAGAGATGACCTGAAGAAGATGCTAGAAAGGGCACCTGTCGACACGACGTCTTTGGAAGAAGTGTAAACACCACCATACTCACCCTTGGCACCTTTCTATGCTAAGGCTTTGGCTTGTTATGCACTGATACATACCTCGGATACGTTGAGGAAGCAGCAGGAGTCATATCAATCATACTGTAAGTTAGTCTCCAATGTATCGTATTTCAACAAGACCATGCTGGCATGCGACTTTCTCATTCATTCCGTTGTCTTCACCGATCAGCGCCTTCAGCTGATAACGCTTGTCGCCACGACTTGGCGCGTAGCATTGTATGGGATTTGGCCTAATTTCATGCGGTTTCTGGATACTGGGGTCAGTCAACGAGCAAAATGGATTTGTCCTCCGCGTCGTAGCATAGCTCCTCCTAAAACACATTCTAAACAAATCTTCATTAGTATAACGGTTAGTATAACCGCTTCTCACGCGGTAGACCAGGGTTCAACTCCCTGATGGAGAATATCTTTTTGTTCCCTTTTTGATATTTTCTTTTTCCACTGTTTGCTTGTCGACCTTCAGCAATTTTCTGCTATTCTAATCAAAACATGTCTATGGTAGGTCCGCCGCACTCACCAATGAGAGCAATGGCATCTAAGCGGGCCACTGTTGCTCGTACAATTGCTTCCTTCGTCGGTCAACTCTGATTTACATAAGCCCAACCCTCCACCATGCGGCAACTGCCGCCGTTCAGATTTCCCACTGCAAGTGCTGATTACAGGCGATTATGTCCTCTTTCAAGCAGTGTTCTGCGTCCGCTATACAAGATGACGACCAACCTCTACGCCGTCGCTGGGCCTTCTACTCACCCTTCCCCTGAAGAGCCGGCTTCCCCTCTCCGCTCCATCCCTTCCCTTCCTGGCAACCACCCCTCCCTTGCAGTCTCCACCTCCGCCGTTCCCGGGGTCGGTGTCGCCAAGCCGGGCTTGAGCGTCGATGAGCATGGGGAGGTATTGAAGGTGCCCGCCTTTTTGAACAAGCTGTACACGATGGTCAGCGATGAGACGGTGAATGAGTTGATCTACTGGGGCGATAATGGGGATTCGTTTTTTGGTGCGTCCTCATTCTCAGAGGAATCTGGATGGCAGGGCTGACGACAGGTAGTGCCGAACTCGGAACAATTTGGGAGGGAGCTGCTACCTAGATGGTTCAAGCACTCCAATTTCTCGAGTTTTGTACGCCAGCTCAACATGTACGGTTTCCGTAAGTCACCCCTTTCCTTGCAAGACCCAAGCTCAAACAAGGTTCAGACAAAGTCCCGCATCTGCAATCTGGCGCTCTGAAAACTGAGACCCCGGTGGAGCTGTGGGAATTCGCCAACCCCTATTTCAAGCGTGGGCAACCACAACTCTTGGCAAAGGTGACCCGAAAGAACAACAGACCGTCTACGTCTGCCCCGACCTCTAGTTCGCCCGCTCCTGGTGTGTCTACGCGGTCCTCGGCTGCACCGCCTCCCCCGCCGCATGGCGGAAAGTTTTTGATTACGGACGGGACTACGGAGGGCGACAGCTCTGCTCTGGTTGCTCCCAATCAGATGATCGACTTGTCTGCCATCCAGAACGGGATCGCCGCCATCCGCCAAACTCAGTCTACCATCTCTGCCGACCTTCGCAAATTGCAAGCTTCCAACGAAGCGCTCTGGCGCCAGGCTTACGAATCCCAAGAAAAGCAGCGCAAACACGAAGAGACCATCGATCTTATCGTGTCCTTCTTGGAGAGATTGTTCGGTACGGAAGGGGAGGGTCTGAAGGGTTTGAAAGAGGCTATGCGGCGAGGGGTTGGGGCAAGGCCGGGGCGAGATAGGGAGAACAGTGATGGAGCAGAGGAAGCGCAGGGTAGCGCAAAGAAGCGAAGAAGAGTAGGCTTGGACAGGATGATTGAGAACAGATCACCCGACGACGATGATGATGATGACGACGACCGGCTCGTCGAAATTGGTACGCCCATCTCTCCTTGTTCGAGTCCATTTGCTGACCTGCTCGAAGGCTCCTCCATGCCACTAGAGACCCCATCAGCATCTGGAAGGTTTCAATCGCTGCCTTCTGAGGACTCCAAAGCACCCACTCCCGTTCCCCCTTCAGACCCCACATTAGGGATGAACGCCCTATCTCCTGTTTCAGATTTTGATCCCCTCCAGCCAAACAACAACAACGCTCTCGCTCCCTACTTTTCGCTTCCGCCTTCGACATCGTCCGCATACCCCCAGCCCCGTTCTCAGAACCAAAAGCAAAGCAGCCAAGGCCAACCAAATTACTCTGCCCCTCTGCTGTCACCGACGACCACTTCTTCCCTTGCTTCATCGCTGAACTTGGACCCGATGCTGCTTCAAACGACTATAGGGTCGCTCTTGCAGAGCCCAGCAGCGGCGCAGATGTTTTTGAACAGCCTCAATGCGAGTGCGCAAGGACAGGCTGTCAATGGCGGATCTCGTCCCGGCACCGGAGTAGCAGCGGGGCAAGACCCCACTCTGGCGCTCTTCTCCCCTTTGCCCCAATCCTTTCAACCCAATCCTTCATCGTCTCTCTCCCACGCTCAAACTTCAGCCCAGAACCAAAACCAAGCTATCCTTCAGCAGAACACTGATCTCCTAAAATCATATCAGGACGCCATCGGCGTTTCGGACGGGCTGGACGGGCTTCAGAGGAGCATCGATGAGCTCGTGAGGTCGATGGGGCTCGACTTGCCGGCTGGAGAGGGCGCTGGTTTGGGGCAAGGGGGTGTGGGAGGGGCGGAGACCGGCGCGGGAGCGGACGGTAATGTGTCAGGGGCAGGAGGGGAGGATTTCAATGTTGATGAGTTCTTGGAGAGTTTGGGCAAGGATGAGGATGATTCCTTGTCTGGCGCCGTAGCTGCTCCGCAGATGGATGCGTCGGGGACGGCTGGACTGCCAGGCATCGCGAAACTTGAGCAAAAGTAGGGCCTTTCTGGTGAGGTGAAGAGGCGGAGTAGTTGTACGATATAATTTTGTATACATTCTCTTCTGAATAAATTCGAGTCTTCACTGCCTTGCCAAGTCAAGGATACGGAAGGGCAGTGGAATCATCATGGATCATTCTTTTCCATGTAACATTCTACTGTTGTATGTCGTCGCTTCGTCTCTGGTTGCGTTACGTAACGTTACGCGCTCGCATCCGACGCGGTTATCGTTTTGCTCACTCTTCCACTTTGGTTGTTTCCTGTCATTTATACGAATCATGGACCCCGCCCACTCGATCCCATCGCCGGCGAGGAGACGCCCTCCGCCCCCGACCCGTGGAATTCTGAAACCGCCTCCGCCACCTGCAAAACCCTCGCTAGGCAACAGATTGAGGGATATCGTGTGGGGCGAAGCCGAGGGAGGGGAAACTAGAAGTCAAGAGGCATCTGGAGCTGGCGGAGCTAGAGACCCGGGAGATGGGCAGATGAGGGGGCTTCCGACGCCAAGGGCACTGGGTGGACAGGGTGGGACACTGGCGTCGCTGTCGGGGCGACTGGCATCCGGCTTTGGGAGGCTGGTTGCGCCGCAGCCCACTGCGCCAGCGACACCCTCCAAACACGAACCTGCTCCCTCAGAAAGGCCAACAACACAAGAGGAACATTCTACGGGGCAGGTGGGGCAGGTAGTCGCTGTGAAAAAGAAGCAACCTTTAAAGAAAGCGACCTTCCTCCTGCCGAGCATGAGTGTCACCTACCCTATCTCGTCTCAAGGCGAGCCCTGGTCACTGAAAGTTCTGGAAGATCGTCAAAAGGTACGTCTGATCTTAGCTCTCATGTTAATTGTGGCCTGTCTGATAAATGGTCAAGATTGAAATAGCTCAACGACAATTATTGGAAGCCAGCACAGGCCCCGAGTACTGGACGCCTCAGCGCCTGGTTGCGCTATACGAGCAGGCATGTAAATCAAGAGAGGAGAGGCCGAGAATAGGCATTGTTCGTGCTCTTGAGGTCAGTAGCTTCGAGCCGCGAGCAAGAACGAAAGCTCATGAAGAACAGACTTTACCAACAGGGAAACCGCGGGTCATCCACCTGGTCCACCGCCCGATCACACATGCGACAATAGGCCATTCGCTTCCTTCTCCACAACACCCGATAGAATCACCACTTACTCGGCACTCATCTTTCCCTCTGGCAGACTTGTTGGCCATTCGATTTGGACTGTACGAGCTCTACCTGGAAGAAGGGCTTGTGGGAGAAGGCGTAGTGGGAGAGGATGTGTTGAGGAATGTCCTGCATGGGTTGCTTGTTAGTGGGGGATTAGGAGTGCTGGGGCTGAAAGGAAACAAGAAGGTGAGGAGCGGAGGGTGGCGTTTGGTTGCAGTGTTTTTGAAGAAGGTACGTCTCTACGCAAGCGGTCATCTTTCATTGACGTACTGACAGTGCACACAGGCGAAAGACTTGAAATATCTTGACGTCTCCGAGACAGTATGGGACAAGAAGAGCATAGAATATCTTGTGCAAGCTCTCGACGGCGCCAAAATCACCCCTCCCACCGCACCTACTCCCGCCTCTTCTACCATTGTATCCTCCCCCACGAAATCTCCAACAAGCCACGCCGAACAAGAAGAGGAGTCGGAAGAACAAGAGCAAACAATATATGCGCCTTTCGTCCCTCCTGCGCCACTGTTGAAACCCAGTAACACGGAGCAGGAGGAGGGGCCGGCGGCTTTGGTCAGTCTGAGAATGGACGGGTGTGGGCTGAAGGGGGCAGTCCTGGAGGTGCTCGGTAAGTTCTGCCTGTGTGTGCTCATAGGTATCGCACTGACAAGCCAAAAGCTCAGAAAATAAGGACATCTCGGCTGCACCACATATCTCTTCGCTCAAACCGTATCTCTCCCCAAGGAGCTGTGGCCGTTGCCTTGATGATCAGAGATTATCCGGACAGCGGGGCTGCTACTCTTGCTGACCGCTTGGGCAGCAGTCTGGCGGGCGCGGGAGCTCCTGCCTCTGCCCCGCCGGTGCCTGCACAGGTCGATGTACCTTACGCCGCAAGAGTGAGAAAAGGAGGAAGACCTGTATCGCCTCAACCCCCTCCCGGTTCCACCACGAAACCCGCATCCCCTCCTCCCATCTCCCTACGACCTGCTGCCACTAGCACGACAAAGAAGGAAGATGGCGACAGCCTTCCCGCTATACCTACCGTTTCTTCCACTCCATCAGGTGGGGTGGTCAGTAAGACCGTACCTGAGGGATATCAAGCGCCGGACCGGGGAAGCGTGAAGGATCGGTTAGCTATGCCATTTACGGCCGAGCCGTTTGATTCGGACTCCCATCCCGTGTCTGCAGAGAAGGAGCAGGGGAAGGAAACAAGCACGATGGGCCCGTCGAAGGGGAAGAGTTTGGCGCTGGAGAGGAATGTAAAGGCTTTGGAAGGAGTGGAAAGGATTGGAAGGTTGATGACGCTAGATTTAAAGGGGAATGACATCCGCGTGCGTAACACCATCTGCCATTGTTATAGTCAAACTTACGTATCCTGCAGACGGGCGT